GTGACAACGCCCTGGGTGTCCCCTGTGCCCCCAAAAGGGATGTGACAGCACCCTGGGTGTCCCCTGTGCCCCCAAAGCCGGGGGTTTCCCCTGCTGGCCCCTTCGTGGAGGGTGCCAACCTTAGGGGGTGTTCCCTAAGGACCAGCCCTGCCCGTGACATCTCCGGGTGCTGCTGGCAGAAGGAAGAGCCGGAAGGGCTTCCCAGCCGTCCCAAAAAATAAATACAACGTCCTGCGCCGTGTCCCGCCGGGCCCGGCCCCGCCCGCGCGGCCCCGCGGAGTCTCTGCTCCCCCCCGCCGTCACCGCAGGACCCCGAGGGCTCGCCGTGGGAACAGTCTGGAGGAGAGGAAGGGTCCGGGGGTCCCGCGGGGGCCGTGGGGGGACACCCCCCCTCCCCTATTGCAGCAGCTTCGGCAGCTCCACCTGTGGGGAGGAGACCCCGTTACTGGGAGTACTGGGACTGGGGAATGAGGGGATGGGCCCCTTCCTCCCGTGGCTCCGGGGACGTCCAGGGCAGGGGGAGGGGGGGACTGGGGGGAAATTCTTCCCTGGGAGGCTGGGGAGGCCCTGGGATGGATTTTCCAAAGAATGCACCATCCCTGGATGTGTCCAAGGCCAGGTTGGATAAACTTGGAGCAACGTGGGATAGTGGAAGGTGTCAGGGTGGGAACTGGATGAGCTTTGAGGTCCCTTCCAACCCAAACCATTTCAGGATTCCAGAAAACTTGGAGCAGAGTGGTTTGCCCTTGGAGCAGCTGGCACAGGTCACTGTTCCTAAAAGAGCTGGAGAGGGGCTTGGGACAAGGGATGGAGGGACAGGACACAGGGAATGGCTTCCCACTCCCAGAGGGCAGGAATAGATAGGATATTGGGGAGGAATTCTTCTCTGGGAGGGGCTGGGATGGAATTCCCAGAGAAGCCATGGCTGCCCCATCCCTGGAAGTATCCAAGGCCAGGTTGGAGCAGCCTGGGATAGTGGAAAGTGTTGGAATTGAAACTGGATGGCCTTTAAGGTCCCTTCCCATCCAAACCATCCTGGGATTCCATGAGCTCCTTCCCTTGGCCACACTGGTTGTCCCCGCACTCCAGCCCGAGGACATGGACACAAAACCCCGGGAGTGAGGGAGGTGTTCCAGGGCTCCCTGTTGGGATCAGTGTTGGAGATGGACCTTCTCCCACCTCCCACCCCAGGGCTGTGGCTCAGCCGGGCAGCAGGAGCTATGGATGGCTCCTTCCTGGTGCCCCAGCCCCTGGATCCTCATGGATCCATGCCAGGAGCTCTGCCAAGGGATGGATCTGCCCCTTTGGTGCTCTGCCAAGGGTTGGATCTCCTCCTGCTGGATGCTCTGCCAAGGGATGGATCTGCTGATCCCATCTGGATCTGCTGATTCCACCTGCCCTATAAGGGATGCTAAAGGATTCCTTTGGCCCCCCATGTCCTTGGCAAAGGGATGGATCCCCCTGCACAGGGGTTGGGACCCCTGTGCCCGTGTCTGGTTGGGACCACAGACCCCCCATTCTGGAGGACAACCCTCCCCTCTCCACTGCCCGAGTGACAACTGCCGCACCCTCACCCAGAGCCCACCGCCAAAAAACGGGCCCCTCCGGAGCCCCCACTTGCCTTCTTGAGCTGTTTGAGGTTGCTGGAGCGAATGGCTGCCAGGAGCTGGTCCCGCGAGTTCTTCTCCTGCGCCGGCAGCGCCCGGTCCCCCAGCTTCCTCTGTGTGGCTGGGGACAGCGAGTTCCGCAGGTTCTCATTGATCAGGGGTGGGGCGAGCGGAGGGGGTGGCGGGGGTGGTGCCGTGGGGGCCCCCCCTGCCTTGGGGGAGCTCTTGGGGGAGGCCTTGGGCGACGGCTGTGGGGATGCCTTGGGGGACCCCTTGGCCAGTGCCCCAGCCTTGGGCACCTGCAGCAGGTCCTTCTTCTCGCCCCTCTCCTGCGCCAGCTTCTGCTCCTGCAGGCGCCGCTGCCGCTGCCGGTCCATGTTGCGGCTCAGCAGGTTGGTGACGGTCATGCGCGGCCCGGCCAGCTCGAAGTGGTAGCCCAGCTTGAGCAGGGTGGTGTTCTCCTTGAGCAGTTTGGCGATCTCCATCTCAGTCTTGCCGCCGCAGATGTGCCGCTGGTTGTGGAAGCGCAGCTCGGTCAGGGTGTCGTTCTGCAGCAGCGCTCGGAAGATGGCCAGGATGCCCTTGCCTGTGATGTGGTTGGAGTCCAGGTTGATGCTGGTCAGCACCTTGTTGGACTTGAGCATGATGGAGATGGCGAAGGCCACGTGGTCGTCGGCGCGGGTGTTGGCCAGGGCGAACACCTTGACCACAGTGTTGAACTCCAGGGCCTCGGTGAAGCGCACCAGGGTCTCGTTGTTGATGCAGTCGGAGTTGTTGACGTTCACCTCGGTCACCTCAGCGTCGTTGTTCTTCACCTTCTCGATGAGCTCGTCGAAGATGCTTGAGGCCTCGTCGTCCTTGGGCAGCTCCACGGCTTTGGGGGGTCCAGCCTTGCCCTCCCGCTTCTCCGCCACCGCCTTTTCTGCCTCTGCCCGGGGTTTCTCCTTCTCCTCCACCCTGACTGTTTTCCCAGCTGAATCCTTTTCCTCTTCTTTTTTTAATTTGTCTTTCTCCCCTTCCCCTCCCGTGGCTTTATCCACCTGTCTCTTTGGTTCTGAGCTCTTCTCCTCCTCCTTTTTGTCCTTCCCTGTGTCCTTCTTGGATGCTGAAACCTTTTCTTCCTTTTTGTCCTTCCCTGTATCCTTTGCTGCTGAGCCCTTCTCTTCTTCCTTTTTCTCCTTCCCTGCATCCTTATTCTTTACATATGAGCCCTTCTCCTCTTTTTTATCCTTCTCTGCCTCCTTCTTCAATGCTGAGCTCTTCTCTTCCTCCTTGTGGTCCTTCCCTGTGTCCTTCTTCAGCACTGAGCCCTTCTCTTCCTCCTTCTTGTCCTTCCCCATCAGCTTTTTCTCCATGGCCTTCACTTTATCATTCATGGCTTTGTTCTCTTTGCTCTTGGGCTCAGTCTCAGCTTTACCTTTGGGCTCTGTTTTCTGAACACCTTCCTCCTTTTTGGAGTCTTTGCCCACTTTGAGGTCTCGTTTCTGGGCCAGGTCTTTGGGGGGAGTTTCCTTTCCCTTTTCTTCTTCATTTTTGTCTCCTTTGCTCTCGCTCAGCCTGGTTTCCTAAAGAGGGAAGAACACCTGGGAGTTACAGAGACAGGAGTTTCCCACCCTGGTCTCACTGCCCCCAGGCCCGCCCCTCCATCCCATGGGAGTGTCCTGGAGCCTTGGGAAGTGGAATGTTTGATGCAGCCAAGGCTCCAGGGAAGGGTTCCTCAGAGCCCCATGCAGCTCTCCAGGGCACCTCTGCTCTCCTGTTGCCTCCAGCCCCTTCCTGAAGGGCTCCAGAGCTCTAGAGCTGTGTCCCATGGGAACCCGCCAAGCTGCAGGAGGCCCCTCCTGTCCCACCTCCTGTGAGTTCTCCTTGTTTGAATCCCCTTCCCAAACAGGGCTGGATTTAGTGCCCATCCCCCTGTGAGCCCCAAGTGCTTTCCCACCTTTCCCGAGCGATTTCCAGCTGGATTCCCTGTGGATTTGCCCAGTTTGGAGCCCAACACTCCCCACACCGGCCTGGCAACGTGTCAGGCAGGGGAGAAGCCACAGCCAGGGACACGGGTGACACTGCTGTCCCCAGCCCTGGGCTCCCCAAAACCAACCCCCTGGTGGCACCAGGTTATCACTGAGCAGAAAACCAAGGAAATGGGGAAATGGAATTTCTTGCTTGTAACGCCTGAAGTTCTCCCAGCACAATCTGCTCCTGGTGTCCAAAGGCAGAGGAGGAGGGAAGGGCTGAGCTGGGAGGGTCTGGGAGAAGGGCAGAAGGAATTCCTGGTGATTTTTCCAAGTCCCTGACCCTTGGCATAGCCTGTCCTGGGCGCTGCTGCTGGATACAGCCAGCACCAGCAGCTCTGGGACACGGCAGGGAGACCTTGGAGCCCCTTCCAGGGCCTAAAGGGGCTCCAGGAGAGCTGGAGAGGGACTGGGGACAAGGGATGGAGTGACAGGACACAGGGAATGGCTTCCCACTGCCAGAGGGCAGGGAGAGATGGGATATTGGGAAGGAATTCTTGGTTGGGAGGGTGGGGAGGCCCTGGAATGGATTTCTCAGAGGATGCCCCATCCTTGGAAGTGTCCAAGGCCAGGTTGGAGCAGCCTGGGATAGTGGGAGGTGTCCCTGCCCATGGCAGAGGTGGGATGGGATTTAAGGTTCCTTCCAAGCCAAACCAGTCTGGAATTCTGTGGGACACCCCCATTCCCCTGGAGAGGAGCCAGTGCTCCCAACAGGTCCCTGAAGGCAGAGGAATCCCTGACATCCCTGGGATCAAAGCTGCTGCACAGAGAAGGATCTCACTGTAAATTCCACTCGGGATGTTGCAATTTAACCCCTTCCCTGCTCCCCAACCCGGGAACACACTGGCCCTGCCCCTCCCCCCTCGCCTGCGAGATCCTGGATTCCCGGGAAAGGAGCAGAGAAGGTGCCTCTGGGAGAGGCAGGTGATCCCTCCCTGGACCCTCTCAGGGGCAGGACAGCACTGTGGCTTCATCCAGGGCCTGGAACCCCCAAATCCAAGTCCAAACACCCCAGTGTGCAGCTGGGCTGGTGTCCTCCTCCTCCTCCTCTTCTTCATCCTCCTCCTCCTCCTCCCCATCCCCATCCCAGGACTCCACGATGTCCATGCTGGGGCATCTCTGCCTTCCCAAAACCCGGCTCTGCTGGCCCTCAAGGCCTGTTTTTTGTGGAGAGAACAGGCTGGGCCGCGGCTAGGGCAGCCCTGAGCACTGTCTGTGCCTGGGGGATAAACAGATGCCACTGGGGAAGTGTTTGTTTAGTTAAGAGATTTCTTGGCTCCCCTGCAAGGACAGAACAGGCACCAGAGGGAACATGCCAGACCCCCCCAGTCCAACTCCAGGGACAGGGATGGGGCTCCCAGGGGTGTCCTGAGGGCTGCAGGAGCAGAGGATGCCACCGGGTGGGTCCTTCCCACCGAGACATTCCCAGAGCTGGGGTGGAACCTGCACCCTGGGGACAATGCCCAGGTTGTCACCCCCGGGCAGTGGGGGCACTCCTTCCCCCTGCCCCGGGACCCCAGGCCGGGCTGTGCCCTCTCCGCGGCCATCCCTGCCTGCTCCCGGCTGGAATATTTCCCGCGGATCTCTGGAAACCAGCGCCCTCCCGCTCCATCCCCGGTGCCACGGGCGCAGCTGGGAGGGAATGTTTTTCCCCGGCGGGTCAGACCTTCACAAATAAAGCCGAACACAAACAGGCCGGGCCGGGCCGATGAATCACCCGGGTTGGGTGACCCCAAATGCCCCCCGGCCCTCCCCGGCCCTCCGCGGTTCCGCAGCCCTCAGAGCCTCAAACCTCCCGATGTTCCCTTAAAAGGCAAAGGAGTCTCGGGAACTTCTCGCCTGGAATCCGAGGGCTCCGAGCGGGGCCGGGATGGGGATGGAGCCGGGAATGGGGACGGAGCGGTGGGAGGGTGGGAGGAGCCGGGGCGGGGGGGGGGG